TTTGGCAACCAATCTATTTTTGGCTTTTCGACGTGTACGGCGGAAAAATACGGTACTTACTGTGTGTGAGAGAGCATGTGCTGCTTCAGGTCATATTTTCTGATGAACGTTCGCTCGCAGAGGTCACACTTCAGCTTCTCCGCTTCCGTGTGGATCAACATGTGAGAAGCCACGTGAGATTTCTGAGTGAACAACTTCTCACAGACCGTGCATTTGTAGTTTTTCTGACCTGGTCAAAGTAGATACGAAGAAAAAACACTGCAGATTTACAGACAAACAGAATCGGGTAAGAAAATATTTCTTCCAAATGGTCATTTATGGAGATTGAAGGTGAAATGATGGTAAATTTGGAGCATGAACGTCTCCCCGGTAAATAAGAGTTCAGGTACCGGTGTGGATCTTCAGGTGCATCCTCAGGTTGCTGGGGTCGCTGAAGGCCTTGCTGCAGTATTCACATTTGTGAGGTTTCATCCCGACGTGACCCATGAAGTGCACGTTGAGCTTCGAGGACGTGATGAAAGCCCGGGAACACATGCTGCACTGATGTTTCTTCTCCCGGACGTTACCCCGGCCTTTTGCTCTGGGCGGGACACTGCTGGAGTTTCTGCTCCTGTTGTTGTTTGGTTGTCCCGCGGGATGACTGTTGCAAGGCCACGGAGAGGAGGAGGAGCTGGAGGTTCCGTTGGAGAGCTTCTCCTCCTGGTGAACGTGCCGAGGCTGCTGCTCCGTCTGCTGCTGACGTGCTGCTTGTTGCTGAGAGTGGTCCTGCTGCGGCGGGCTGTGGTCGTGCCCCGGCTGGTTGTGGCTGCTCAGGTGAGACTTCAGCTCGGAGAAGGACGAGCACTCTTTACCGCACTGACAGATCTGACCTTCAGGCACCTGAGGAACACCTGAGAGCAGAGAGAACAGTCAACCGTTCAGTTTTTATCCATTTTATCAGCAGCTCATTATTGCCTGCTGGCTAGTGTCAACCTGTTAGCAAAATAACTCGTCAATCACCAGATGGAGTCAGAAAATTATCACGGGACGTGTATCTACAACTGATTAGCCTCTGGAGTCAACACAATTCAAGATGGCAGCCACAGCTCGTTAACCTTTCCCATCACAAAAACAGAGACAACTTCAACAAGCTGAAAGTAGCAAAACATTGAATAAAAAAACTAACAAAAGGCTAGCCAAAAAAAAAAAGGCAAAAAGCTAGCTAAACAAGCGAAACAAAAGTAACCAAGCATTAGCTAAAAGGAGCAAAACATTAATGAAAAGAAGCAAAATGCTATCTAAAAGAAACAAAATGCTAGCTAAAAGAAACAAAATGCTAGCTAAAAGAAATAAAACAAGCTAAAACAAACAAAAGGCTACTTTAAAGTATCAAAAGATTAGCTAAAACAAGTAAAACACTAAAATAATCAAAATGCTAAATAAGCAAACTAAATGCTAGCTATAAGAAAGTAGCAGCACAGCGCTGGCTATAAAAAGCTAAACATAACCTAAAAGTAGGAAAATGCTAGCTAAAAATAGCTCAACACTAACTAAAAGCTAAAAGTAACAGAATGTTAAGTATAAACCAAAAGCTTATTTAAAAATAGGTTAAGACGAAAATAAAAAAAGAATGCTGAAGAAGATTCTAAACTGTTTTAAGGAATTAAAAAGATTTTGACTTCTATGGGATGGGTTTTGGTAAAAAAAAATGAAATATTCTGACAAGAATGATATGTACAAAAAACAAAAGTCATAGCACCCTTCGGCTCATAGTGGTGAGGGGTGGTATGAATGGCTAAAAAAGAACAAAGTACGCAGAAAAAGAAAAAGAGAAATTTAAAATGTGAACTAGAGAAATTGCATTTCCTGTGAAAATGCAGTGTGAATGCTTATTGCAGAAGAACTTGCTGAAAAACAGCTGAAATTAGCTACGAACATGCTGAAATAGAAGAACAAGCCTAAATTAGCAGGAGAGCAGAAATAACACATATTTACAGAATTAGGTTTAAATAGGCAGAAAGTAGCCATAATTTTGAAAATCAGCTAAAAATGCTGAAATTGGCATAAAAAATCTGAAAAGTAGCTGAAAAGGCAGAAAGAACTAGAAGGAAGTGGAAAGAGATGAATCAAGCAAAAAAAACTGGAATTAGGTGAAAAGCTAAGATTTGCATAAAAACAGCTAAATAGTACCTTAAACAGCAGAAAAGGCTGAAACTAGCAGAAAAAAGCCGAAAGGAAAATAAAAGCTCAAATTAGCAGAAAGAAACACAGCTAAATAGTAGCTGAATTAGCAGAAAAAGCTAAAATTTGAAGAAATAAGCTGAAAGGAGCATGAGCTGAAATCAGCAGAAAGAAGTTAGAAGAGGCACAAAAATGTTGTATTTAGAAGAAAGAACCTGAAAGGAGCACAAAACAGCTGAAAGGAGCACAAAACAGCTGAAAGTAGCGAAAAAAGTTTCAATTTGCACAAAGAAGCTGAAGCAGAACAAAATGTGAACGGAGCAGTGAAATGTTGTGAACACATCTAAAGCTATGAAGGATGGAAAATGAGCTCAATTCATTTCCTGTGAGGGGAAAAAAACAATGTCAGAAAAGGCTAAATATTTCAAAAAGCTAAAGTTCTTCTGAACGTTTGGATATAATTTGTTGAAACAGATTGAAAACTGCGGGACGAGAATCGTGCCAAAAAAACGTACAAAAGAAAAATGGATCCCAACAGTGTAAATGCTGACTGTGCACGCACACTAGTGAAGTTTTTTGTCGTCTCACCCATCAGTCTGCTGTAGTCTCGGCTGTAATAGAACAGCAGCTCCTGGTCCGGATGGATCTCTGTAGTTGTGCAGAAGAAGATCTTTCCGTTGGCAGGATATGCCACCAGATTCTGCTCCTCATGGGTCCTAAACACACAAACACATCACACTTTAACACAGAAGCTTTTATTTGTGATGTAAACACGTAAACATTCATACCTCGCCTTACGGACGAACATCATCCAGTTGCATTCGTTCTCATCTGCGGTCACGATGTAGAACTCCAGAACGTTGTTGTGATACATCTGTGACATCACACCATGTTTGTGCAGGTTTGATTATTTCCATGGGCCGGAGCAACGCTTTCCAAAGGACAGCTTCGTATCAAAAGAACAAACCTTCCATGTCTGAGGCGTTTCCTTCTCTGGCCAATCAGAGAGATCCACGTTGCTACAGTGTTGACCCACCACCGGTCCAAAGCAGGTCCTCGGAGGAATGACATCCCGCGCAAAGATTCCTGAAACACAACATTCAGATCCTCTAAGCACAGATATTACGTAACCGTGTCCAATGTTGACAAAAAAAATCAGCTGTAAAAGTGAGAAGTTTCCTCACCGAGCGGTTCGTCGGCCACTGAGATGCGAAGGCACAGAGGACGGGGCAGAGACAGGCGAGCCCTGCTTTGGATCGGTGCATCCGGGACAAACGTGACCGGGCCATGTTCCGGACAGTCTGAGGTGTACGAGCGCTCGCATAATGTGCACCCTAACAGAAAAAAAAAACCATATATATATATTTTTTAATAATTATATTTACTGTTTGAGCAGATTCGACACTCACAGACGGCGAAGGCGGCGACCATGTTCTCCTTATTTGGAGCAGAGTCCTCCAGCTGCAGGGTGGAGTTGACCAGCACCAGGTTGTTGTCTGAGCCCAGCGACACCTCTGCAGTGATGGGGGACACATTCACAGCCTCCAGCCCCAGCCCCGAGTGTCCGTGGAGAGACACCGGCTCCAGCTGGTTCTGGTTGGCCATGGAGCTGGTGAGCACCACGCTCACGACGCCCGTGTTCATCTCCCCGTTAGTGTGGAGCTGCTCGCCAAGGCCCCCCGCCCCACCTCCCCCCGAGCTCCCCACTCTACCCCCCATATGATTCGGTTCTATAACCACTGGTAGTTCCAGCACTGGGGGTCCGTGGAGGGGCATCACCCTGCCAGAAGAGTCCACGCCTGTCAGGCCTTCGTGAGGCTGCCTCCCCCCTCCTAGCTGCTGCTGGGCATCAGACACCGCCACCACTCCGACTCCATCCATGCTCGCCAGCTCCTCCCCCATCCGGTCGGGGGACAGAGGACTGCTGACACGAGACTCCATAGATAACCCTGTAGAGTCCAGCTCATGAGGGCCAGTCTGGTGGAGGTCCCCCTGCCCACTGACCTGTCTTGAGTCCATGGGCACCAGTCCCTGCTCCAGGGGGCCCCCAGGTCCACTGTAAGGGTCCAGACCGGAGGGATTGTTGCTGGCCACAGAAAGGGTCCCGTCCAGGTTGAGGCTGCTGGGATGAATGTACTGCGGAGGTGGACGGTCTGCCAGGTAGGACAAAATACCTGTAGGAGCAAAGGGAAAACTCAGCATTAACAGTTTTATAAACATTTACACTACGAAAATCTGTAAAAGTGTTTTAATATATGGATTAAATCTACCTGGCAGAATGTGTCTGAAGTAACTGCTCTCCAGGTGAGGGTACGGGGGAGGCGGCAGGGAATAATTCCTCTCAGGCAGGCCGCACATCACCCCTCTGTCACTCAGCGGACCCATGGGCAGCATCAGAGACAGGGCAGAAGGCAGGGAGCCAAGGGAAGGACCCAAACTGGGGATGGCCACTGGCATGCCTGAATGGTGTAAACCACAAACAAGTGGTAGGCTTTGAGATGTAACACAACGAAATGCTCTGAATCAGATTATCAGTGTTCTCCGTACCTGGAGTGGGAATGGGATTGTGTGTGGGAGAAGTGGGCAGACCCAGGTGACTGGCACTGACCGGGGGCACACCGAGCTGGTCCATGCCCACAGGACTCAGGTTCATCTCATTCATCCTTTCACAAAACAACAAACATAAATCAAAGACCTGCTTCAGTCTCTAAACTACAACGCAACGAGACAGTTCACTACCGGAAGTAGACCATTTCAATTTGTAGCTGCGCGTTTTTACAAAACGTTTTGCTCTAACAACATACAGCTGTTAGCTTGGACACATTACCTGAATTCAGCAACTGCTGTCCTTTCATCAACTGTGCACAGCTGCTACATACATGCCTGTGGCGGGGAGAAAAACCTAGTTTGAAAAAGCCAAACATCTCCCAGCTCATATGAGGAGAAATAATAACCAGATTAGCCACAATGCTAACAGTAGCGATGCTAAGTGACGTCTTTAAAAATCGTTTAAAACTCAAGTTTTGCACGTTTCATCCATTATAAAATTCGAATACATCTACGGACATATTTAGACCCGAACAGTAAGGCTTCTTTATAATAGAAACGTTTATATTTAGTGTAAAAGGGCAACATTACCAGCAAAACACTTTCAATACCAGGGCCATGATGGATGACTGCTTCACGGCGCATGCGCAGACGTGTATTTTAAGACCGCGTCTTGTTGTGACGATGGAAGAAACAAATCGTGCGAAGAGAAATTCACAAATGATCTGAAACATGTTTTACTTCGTTGCTGCAAATTAAATTTATCATTGTCGCTCTGTTAGCTGTTCGACTAAAATTAAAGAGTGAAAACAATAAAAACGCTTAAATTTCAGGTCTTTTCAGGTCATGAGAGCGACAGACCCAATGAGACTAACCAGTATAAATAAAGGTTAAATGAACTTGTTCACCTGTGTTTTTATTTTATTTTAATTTCTGTTTGACGAATTATTGATGAAATTGTTGTGATTATTAGTTTAAAAATATCTTATCTGCTAAATAAATGAATAAAATAAATTCATGCCTGACATATCAGCATAATTTTAGGGATCATTTAGTGTGTGACTGAATTAATATATAATTTTGATGTTGCACAACTAGAAAGGGATCAGGCGCTAAAGCTTTAATGAACGTTGGTATTAAATTTTTGTTGATAGGAATCCTGGAAGATTTGATGTTGCCCCTCAATCTGCTAAAGATTAAAATTATCCTTTGGCAAACGTTCCCCAAAATTTTGTCTAATCTTCATTTGTCAGTGTTTACAGAATCAGGAAGTATTTCCTAAAGAGGTGCTTTAACTGTGAGAGTGCAACCAGAGAAACTTCCCTAAAGTTTAACTCCAACTGTTACAATGTAATGTTCTCTAAAGGTTCTTTGAACTTTTCCAAACGGGTTCCTAACTTTCAGAGACACTTAATTTATTATTATTATTATTAACCTTTATTTAACCAGGCAAATCCCAGGCCTGAAGGCAACCCAACATGCACGTTTTTGGTCTGTGGGAGGAAACTGGAGAACCTGGAGAAGAACATGCAAACTCCACACCGAAAGACCCCAGGTCCAACCGGGGACTGAACCCAGGACCTTCTTGCTGTGAGGCTACAATGCTAACCACTGAGCAACCATGCTGCAAATAGGTGCTATAAATATATAGCGTATAGATGGTTCCCTGAAGGCCACACTGCAACAGTTGGAGCTACATTAAAGAGAACGTTCTGAAGGTCACAGTGTGAAAGTTGAACATTAAAGTAACCTTTTCACAAAGGTTAGGTCCAAATGTAACAATGTTGCCTTCAAAATAATTAGATTAGTGCTGGATTCATTAAGGATTTATTTCAACCAAAGACCAGTGAGCGACTTCTGGAGCAACTGAACAAATATTTAAATACAAACCATCAGTTTTACCAGTTATTTCACCTGGTCACACAAATATATCATTTCCATCCAGTCACTTAATAAATGTCACCTAAATGTGCAGACACTTGTAACCAAGCTAAAAAATACATTTGCAAACTGATCTTGTAGTAGTTTAACTTTTTTTTTAAATGACAGCTAAAAGTACATAAATGTTTTTACGTTCAGCCGTGCAGCTAATTTGCTTCTGCAATCCCTCGCTGGTTGATGGTGCAAAATACAAAATACAACAGATATGGCAGATGGGTGACAAAATTACATAACCAGACCATATTTTAACTTATATTTGTAAATAAATAAACAAATGACAGTTATATATGTGTATTTATCAGTGAATTAGCAGAAATGAGTTTCATCATCACCTGCTTTTAAAGATGGAAGCTGAAAACAAACAAAAAAAAAAAAGAACAAGAAAAAAGCAGTAAAACCTTCGTTTTAAATAAAAATAAACAACTGTTTTAAGTTGCAAAGAATACGACCCAGTATCCTTATGCATCCCAGTTCCTCCATTTCCGTTGCAGGATGAGGGCTCCCTGTCCGGACACGCCGGAGGAACCGTTCCTGGTGGTCCCACACAGATTTCCCTGCGGCTGATAAACTTTATCTCATCCAGTCATCGTTTTAAGTGTGCAGGATTATTTTTTCTCATGACAATCACATCTGTGTATCTCTGTACACAAGGAAAGTGAACTGATTGTTGAAACACAAAAAGTATTTTTGTTACTAGATATTGTCTGATCAAGTTGTGTTTTGCTGTTTCATCAAATTCTTTTTTTTTTTTTTTTTTTTACATTTATTGTGATTGTTTCAAATATAGGGGCATCGCTCACCTTACCCTCCCCGTGACGTCTATTCAGGGGTACTAGAAATGCGAGTCCAATCGATGGTCAACCCTCGAGACGTAATGTGGGTTCCAACATGGTTGTGGAACACTGGACCAGCTCTTTACCCTCACTAGGGTCCTCTAGATGTCATGGAAGTTTGCCCAGTATACATGTGGTTTGTGGTCTTGGAGAAGACATTTGATCATATTCCTCGAGGTAAACTGTGGGGGGTGGTCTGCGAGTATGGGACTGGGGTCCTTTTGGTTCCTATACAAGCGGTGCAAGAGTCAGACCCGATCAGGGTGGGAGCTGGACTCTGCTACGGATGCCAATTGTCACTGATTCTGTTCATAACTTTCATGGACAGAATTTCTCGATGCAGCCAGGGGGTGAAGGGAGTCTGGTTCGGTGGCCTCAGGATTCCATCTCTGCTCTGCGCAGATGATGTGGTCCTGTTGGCGTCATCGTGCCGTGATCTTCAGCTCTCACTGGAGAGGTCCACAGCCGAATGTGAAGCGGCTGGAATGAGGATCAGCACCTCCAAATCTGAGACCATGGTCCTCAGTCAGAAAAGGGTCGATTGCCATCTACGGGTTGGGGGTGAGCTTCTGCCTTTGTGGGGTTCAAGCTGTTTTTTTTTTTTTCATGAGTGAAGAATGGAGTGGGAGACTGACGCATGGATTGGACCAACATCTGTATTGCAGACTCTGCGCTGGTCCTTTGTGGTGAAGAGGGAGCTGAGCTGTAAGGCAGAGCTTCCTGTTTACCGGTCGGTCTACGTTCCTACCCTCACCTATGGTCACAAATTTGAGGTAATGACAAAGAACGCAATCGTATATACAGGTAGAAATGAGTTTTCTCTGCAGCTGCTCTCCCTTAGAGATAGAGTTAAGTTCAGTTATCTGAGAGACTCGGAGAAGAACCACTTATCCTCCACATCGAGAGGTGGATCGGGCATCTGGTTTGGATGCCCCCTAGACACCTCTAGGTACTCTGGGCATGTCCAGAAGACCCGGGAGAGACGATGCATCTCAGCTGGCCGGAATGCCTCAGGGTCCTCGCAGAAGAGGCGGCTGTAGAAAGAGATATCTGGGTCTCCCTGCTCAAGCTGCTCCGGAACAAGCCGAAGATAATGGATGGATGGAACACGTTACATCACATGCAGGCACAAGCAACAGCTTCTATAATGAAAGAGAGTAAGGAATCTGTGAAGAAATCTGATTAAAATCTGCTTTTTGTGCACAAGGGAAAGAAAACATCCATTATGTTAGAAGCTTTCATTTAAGGAGTTTCATGTTTTCTATTTTCTGAGTGCCACTGAACCATCAAGGCCCAGAGTACCAGCACTGGGCTAATTATTGGGTCTATTTCACGTACAGCTTTGGTAAGGGATGGTCACGCCTTTGTGCCTCTCAATGCTGTTCTTCTAGAAAGCCCGGTTCACTTAAACTGCACCCTCCTGTAAATCCCCATTATTACTTGTATACAACATAAGGTTTGATTTTTTTTATTTTGTTGTTTGTGCAATTGGACCATTTCCATGCAGGTCGCTGGAGGTTTGTAACAGTTATCTCAAGTTTCTTCTGATGGGACTAAAAGCTTTTTTGACAAATACTTTTATAAGCTGTTAGGAAAATAAAACTTCCTGAAATACAGGAAATCACTTTGTAAATAAGTCTTTGAATAGAAAAATGTACTCCGCCTGCTTTGGTTAATTTTTTTAAAATGTAGGAGCTTCAAGCAAACCAGACTTAAAAAACAAAACAAAAGGAAAACTGTTTTTTTATGACTTAAGATAAAAATTCATCACATTAATTACAGTAAAGGGTTCAAATATTTGCAATAGAATAATTCAGACAAACACAAATCATGAGACATGGTGTATTAAGGCTGACCTGAAAGAATTTCTATGTAACTTTGCATTTATGTACTGAAACCTGATGAAACTAAATATGAGCAAAAGGCAAAGCTAGCTAAAAGGTAAAATTAAAGACCATAACAAACTAAAAACCAAAAGTAGCAAATCCTTAACTGAAGTCAAAAAAGTAACTAAATGCAGCTAAAAGCTGAGTTCACAATTGTCTAACATGGATAAAAGGTTCAATTAAATGCTAGCTAAATGATTAGCTAAAATCAAAGCTAAATAAAAACAGTAACAAGATGCCAGCTAAAAGCCAAAGGTAGCAAAACACTTATTCAAGTAGTAGCTAAATGCTAATTATAGCCTAAGTCAACAGCATAATAGGCTAACTAACTCAAAACAAAACTAGATAAAAAATAATAAATTTCTAGCTAAAAGCCAAAAGTATTACACATTTATAAGTTTACCCAAAATTCTAGTTATAAGCCAAGCTAGCTAAAAACAGCAACAAAATGCTGGCAAAAGGCTAAACTAGCTAAAAGCAAGGCTAAATAATATAAAATGCTAGCTGAAAATTCAACACTATACAAGCCAAAAATAGTCAAATGCTAATTGGAAGCTATTTATTATTAACGTTTATTGAACCAGGCAAATCCCAAGCCTGGGATCTGCTAGATCAATAGTAGCTAAAAGCCCAAACTAGCCAAATGTAAGCTATACGCCAAAAGTAGAGCTGCATGCTCAATAATCCAGGTAGAAAAATCTAATAAAGTTAAATCAGGTCAATCTGGATGGATTAAAAAAATAAAAATTTAGTCTTTTATCCAAAAAGACTTCTTCAGTCTGAGGAGCTGCAATAAACTCAGTCGTATAAATAGAACCTTATTATAGTGGATCAACCAGATTACTGGTGACGTTCATCCTAACGACTGATCATTAGTGCCCTGATGGCTACTTGCTATTTATTTAGTTTATTGCAGCTCATTTGTCTTTTGGGTAAAAGACAAAAATTTCAACATTTTTTTATACATCCAGAGGACCTGACTTAACTTTATTAGATCTACCTAATACAATCTAAAAGCAGTAAAAACTTGCCATTTGCAAAAATATATTTATTCAAACATAGTTGCGAAGAAGTAAAAATATACCTTTTTTTTTTTGTTTGTTTTTCAAATACAAAATAACCCATTGAGGGAAAAAAAAAAAGAATACTGTAGGTTGAGGGATTAAAAAAAAAACTATAGAAAAATATTTATCTGCATATTTTGCAACATCAAAATGCAAATAAGTCTTTTCTTGCACTTTGGTCCAACAGTAGTTAAAGTACGTTTCCTTCTTCTGTGGAGCAGGTTCTGGACTCCCTGCAGGATCCCATGGGCTCGAGCAGCCTCTGCAGGTGTTTGATGTAGTCGATGGCCGCGCGCAGCGTCTCCACCTTGCTGAGCCGCTTGTCCTCAAACTCCTGCGGAAGATGCTCCCGGAGCCGCGCGTAGCCCTCGTTGACGCAGCGCACGCGGTGCCGCTCCCTCTCGTTGCGCCTCTGGATGAAGGCGGGCTCGAACGGGTAGTCGCACGCGCCCAGGGGCGCGTGGAAGGGGAAGCGGGGCAGGGGTCTGCAGGGGAAGCCCGCGTCCAGGTAGGCAGCTCGGATGTGAAGGGCGGGCAGCCGGAGTGCGTCTCCGTAGCGCGCCACAAATGGAACATGCTCCATCTTATTAAAACACAAATAAAATATTTATTTATTTATTTCAGAGGAAGACAATAATTATAGAAAGCTGCACTCACCCTGCCAGGGTCCAGTCATCTGAGCTGAGGTTCCCCCTCCTGACAGAGAGGCCTTAAGACTGGCAGGGTGGGAACTGGGGCGGAGATGATGGAGGTTTTTCATCAAGATAAAACTGTTTACATCCACCTTTCTTCCTTCCGTTGACAACTCTCACCGCACACACAAAAAAAGTCTGACTTTATCTTTTGCATCAGCACAGCTCCAAAAGGAGGTGAAGTTTGGGAAACTTGAGATCAGGATTTATCTTAAAAATGTTGTAAAAGTTGCAATGAATCATTTCATCAAAACAAAAAAGATCCATGTTCCAGAAAGTGTTGGGAAGTTTAGAAAAATGTTGCAAATTCACATTAACATGTTTCAACTTGAAAACAAACTATTTTAAATTAGGTTAAATCTTTATCAGGGGGTTGAATTGAATTGCTTTGAATTGGCTGATCAATGTTTGGAGTCATCCTGATTCAAGATGGTAACTACAGCTCACAAAAATGTCTAACTCTGTCTAATACATGGACAATGAGCTAAAATCTGGTGTGGTAGTAGCCGAGAGTCATCCCCAACCTACTCTGAGCACCAACTAACTGTAGCAGCTTTTGATAACATTTTGGCTTGCAAGATGATGGGCAATGTGCATTCCATCAAGCAATGCTACCTTTATTTTCACCGTTATCAGAATAATTAAAATTGTTCTGCAAACAATTTCAGAATAAGAAGAACACTGCATCTACAAGGTATCTGTAAAAAAGGCAAAACAATTGCTGTACTATAAATAATAAATATGTAATGAGTTTTTTTTTTCCCACTAAAAACACATTCCATAAAGCTTTATTAATGCCTTGAACATTTTATTTTACATTTAATCTATGAAACAGATTTTGTGATTAATAATGATCCAACAATTTTATTTTAGTTCATTTTACTTTTAACAGTCAACTGTGGGGTTATTTGTAACCAGAAAGGAAAATGTGAAATAAAATACTGTATAATAAATACAGTACATAATACTGCCAAGTATTGATGGGGCAACATAAAAAGATACTTACAGGTTACCAATTGGACCAGGCTGTATTATGAAGTAACACGTTAATCTAAACTTACAATGTAAAACACGGGGTAATTACGATGTAACACGGGTTGAGTACAGTGTAACTCACAGGGTAACTGTGCCAAAACTCACGGGGTAACTGCGCCGAAACTCACGGGGTAAATGTTATGTAACACACGGGGTAACTGAGCTGTAACACACGGGTAACTGCACTGTAACACATGGAGTAACTGTGATGTAGCACACGGGGTAACTGTGCTGTAACACACGAGTAACTGAACTGTAACACATGGAGTAACTGTGCTGTAATACACAGGGTAACTGCGATGTAGCACACGGGGTAACTGCTCTGCAACTCCCAAGGTAACTGTGCTGTAACACATGTAGTAACTGTGCTGTAACACACGGGGTAACTGTTCTGTCACTCACGGGGTAACTGCGCTGTAACTCCTGAGGTAACTGCGCTGTAACTCATGGGGTAACTGTTCTGTCACTCACGGGGTAACTGCGCTGTAACTCCTGAGGTAACTGCGCTGTAACACATGGGGTAACTGTTCTGTCACTCACGGGGTAACTGTGCTGTAACTCCTGAGGTAACTGCGCTGTAACACATGGGGTAACTACGATTTAACACATGGTATAACTAAGATGTAACACATGGGGTAACTATGACTTAACATACGGTGG